TGCGAGACGTTGTAAGTCACATGCTGGTGAAGGTTGAGCCTGATGGTGGCAAGTGCTTTACGATCGAGCACCTTCCACTTATCGTCGTCCATCTTCTCAGGTTTCCCCGCCTCTCCTTGGAGGGGTAGGAAGAGATCCTTCTGGTACAAATAATCTTCTATTTGTATCCTCCAATACCTGAAATTTTGGCCACCGAACTTCTCAATTCGAAGCCTGTTGTCTTCAACTGTAGATCCCATGGCGAAAGATTACGTCTTTCCCGTATTCGTGAATAGATCAGCGCATTCCAGATTCATAGAAAATTCAAAGATTTTTAAAATAAGACTAATTTACCACTAATTAGATAAACTTAAATCAAAATGAGCAGTAAACCAACTTCTTCTCCGCTCTGATCATCGCAAGGGAGTTCTCGCTGGCCACGTTTCTGTTAGGGTACACCCCAATAAGAACGCCTCTAACGGAGATGCAATACACAAAATAAAGGCACAAGATCAACCAGAGTACTCACAGATATACGTGGTTAACTCCTTCGGAGCTACTCCACGGTGCAACGACGATGCCAAATTCTTTTATATCCCAAAAGAATAGATCAAAGAGAACACCATCTCTTGATCAGATACACTCTAAGAACTCTCACAATCTCTCTCTGCGTTTTCTCTCTTACTCTTCTATGAGAGGAGTTGTTTCTGGGATGAATTTTCCTAAAGAGTTTAGGCCCTATTTAGAGTGTTTGAGAAATACTATGCACTAATAAATTTAAGGGCATTTTGTTTTTAGGCCTATTTATTTACTCCTCTTTATCTTTAAACCCAAGTACTATTACTTGTATCTTGAAGCCCAACACTCTTTTTACATTTATCTTTAAACCCAATTTCCAAAATACAATACTTTCATCACTTGTATTTATACAGAATCCCCAAAATACCCCTTGGCCCCATATAAACCAGTATCTCTTATCATCTTACCCTTTTCAACTCAGACCTAAATTAAAAAACGACAGGCCCCTTGCCACCATCGCCAGTCTCCAACCGTCGTCCGCTCGTCTCTAGCCGCCGTCTATTCCAGCCACCGTCTCCAGCCATTTTGTTAATGGACAAGTTTGCCGCCGTCTCCAGCCATCATCTCTGTTGCCCACCGTCCGTCTCTAGCCGCCGTCTATTCCAGCCACCGTCTCCAGCCATTTTGTTAATGGACAAGTTTGAATGAGTCTAAAACGTTGGGTTTCTAGAATGAGTGTGCAGCATTTATGGAGACCAAGACCAAGGAGCCAGCTTTGAATGAATAATTAGCTTTCTTAGCTGCTCATAATCATGTCTTTTTGTCGTTGTTTGATAATTGCTTTCGTATTATAAGTGAGGGGGCGATAGGGTGGAGGGATTTCCTATTGAAAGGCGAGGGAGGAGGTCACTTGAGGGTGGGTCGCTAGCAGAAGGAAATGTTAAGATCAGATTGAGAGGAATGATATATGAAAATAGGGAAGAATGAAGAAGCGGGTATTTCTTTTATCGCACATCTCTAGCCGTCATCTTCGTTGCCCGCTGCCTCGCCGCCCTTGAAACGAAGCTATATTGATGCGTTTGTAATGTACGGGTGTGTTGATGTGTTTGTAATGTATGGGGGCGATTGGTGAGATGTAATTCACATGATGAGGTGGTTAGGTTTTTTTAAGAACTGGTTTTATTTGGACGCTATATTTATTATTTTGGTGCATAATTATGCTTAATTTTTTATGGTGAGGTAAAATTCAATTGGTTGAGAATAATTTTTAGAGCACTATGGTGTAGTTTATCTACTTACTTCATTTAGTATGATGCTAATTGATGGGGGTTAACCGATGTTATGTGCTGAAGCCTGATGAAGTTATTTTTTTACCCTTGAAAATAAATTCTGGTAATTTAAGGTTTATGTTAGTTGAATGCAAGTGCTAGCAAAGGGAAAGAAAAATAATAGTGAGGCTGAATATAACAAAAGAGACAAATGAGTAGCCAATACTCACCATTGTCTTCCCTTGATTTCTTGGATAACGTGCTATACTGGGTAACATGTTATACTTACTGGGTAACGTGCTATACTTACGGGTTAACGTGCTATACTCACTGGATAACGTACTATACTTACAGGCTAACATGTTATACTTACATTATAACGTGATATACTTACAGGTTAACGTGTTATACTTACAGACTAACGTGCTATACTTACAGACTAACGTGCTATACTTACATTATAACGTACTATACTTACAGGTTAACGTGCTATACTTACATTATAATGTGCTATACTTACATGCTAACGTGCTATACTTACATTATAATGTGCTATACTTACAGGTTAACGTACTATACTTACATTATAACGTGCTATACTTACAGGTTAATGTGTTATACTTACAGACTAACGTGCTATACTTACAGACTAACGTGCTATACTTACATTATAATATGCTATATTTACAGGTTAACGTGCTATACTTACATTATAACGTGCTATACTTACAGGTTAACGTGCTATACTTACATTATAACGTGCTATACTTACAGGTTAACATGCTATACTTACATTATAACGTGATATACTTACAGGTTAACGTGTTATACTTATATTATAACGTGATATACTTACAGGTGACAAAAGAAATACCCGCTTCTTCCTTCTTTCCCATTTTCATATATCATTCCTCTCTCTCTCTGGCCTTAACATTTCTGTCTGCTGGCGACCCACCCTCCAGTGACCTACTCCCTCGCCTTTCAACAAGAAAACCCTTCACCCTGTCACCTCCTCACTTACAATAAGGAAGCAATTATCAAACAACGACAAAAAAACATGATTATGAGCAGCTAAGAAAGCTAATTATTCATTCAAAGCTGTCTCATTGGTCTTGGTCTCCATGAATGCTGCACCCTCATTCTAGAAACCCAACGTTTTAGACTCATTCAAACTTGCCCATTAACAAAACGACTGGAGACGGTGGTTGAAGTAGACGACGGTTAGAGACGGGTGGTGGGCAAACGGAGACGGCGACTGGAGACGATGAGGAGATGGGCAAGGGCAACGGAGCGACGACGGTTAGAGACTAGCGACGGTGGCAAGGGGGCTGTCGTTTTTTAATTTAGTGCTGAGTTAAAAAAAGGTAAGATGATGAGAGATACTGGTTTATATGGGCCCAAGGGGTATTTTGGTGATTCTGTATAAATACAAGTGCTGAAAGTATTGTATTTTGGAGATTGAGTTTAAAGATAAATACAAAAAGAGAGTTGGGCTTCAAGATACAAGTGATAGAACTTGGGTTTAAAGATAAAGAGGAGTAAACAAATGGGCCTAAAAACAAAAACCCCTAAATTTTATTATTAGTGGGACCCGTCACTGATAATAGTTTATTGGTGGGACCCACCACCCTTTTAATTTCTCAACAGAAGCGGCACCGAATTCTTCCTTTGTCTAAAAGAGTGGGCTGCTGACAAAAAATGTGGGCGGCTGAAAAGTGGCGGATCCAGAAAAAGTTACCTAAATGAAAAGGAGCTACTAATTTCAAATGAGCTGAATGAAAATGAGCTACGAATTTGTAAATGCTAAATGCAAATTACTTGAAAATAAGGTGGGATGTAAAAATTTTAAAACATTGGGAGACAAATTATAATTATAGAAGGCTTTAAAATGTAAATTCTAGATTGTTAGGGGTGCAACCGAAACCCCTCTTAAAACGTATGCCTTTGCACCTGCACCCGCGACTAGATTTTTTGCTGGCAGGTGGCTAGCAAATGCGACCCTCATTCATTTTGGCTAGGAATAGACAGTGAAACATGAACATTAAAGACAACCACTAGATATTAATATAACCAAAGTTCTTAATTTCCATGTTTCAATATGCTAAACTGAAGGCAAATCTGTTCGTATATGTTTAACAAGTGATAGGAAATGTTAGTAAACTATTTTCACTTGGAGCAGTCATTAAAGGCTATGTAAACAAAATATAAATCCATTGTACTTATCAATCAAATAATGTAACCATGATAGTGAACCAATGATCTTCGTTACTGATACACCGAGGTTTACCATGAATTTGCAGGCCAAGAGAAATCTGACTTCATGCATTTGTAAACTGACATCAAATTTGGTCATTAATAGGAGCCTATAATTTCTCTTTAAGACATCAATATTGATGTATTCCACCTTTGATCATCTTTGTTCGTTCTTTGTCCGTGAGATATGCTACTGCATGGGGAAGTAAATAAGTTAATGAAATTCATGGAATCAATCAGACAGGGCATAAAATATCCAGTTCTCTTGTTCTCAGTGAAGCTTAAACACGAATGTTTTAACTTTCCATGCTCTAAGTTGGCATCAGAAACTTTTGAGCAACTTCAGAGAGAAGTATTTCAGTAGGCTAAGACGAATAAAAGTAACATTTGATTCTTTGGAGCATAATTTATCTAATGGTTGAAGATGACAAATCACTGTAGGAATAGTGCAAGTAAACTTAATTCATTCTGATCAGCACTGTCCAGTACCACCTACCCAAAGAATAAACCTCCTCCACAAACCTCATACTTGCTGCCTCTTTGACAACTTCGGATGACATATACTCCATAAATTCCCAAAAAAGAGGGCTAAGGTGAGACACCAATGTCAACAGTCTTGGAATCTTAGGACATGCAGTGGACAAATAGCGGGTCTCAACATGGCGACTTTGGAATTGATCGTGTCAAGAAAAATTGGCCAGTGGCATCCTAGAAGGATATCTCTACTGAATCACTAATCAAAGCATCACTTTTCTCTATGCTAGTTCCTTTTTTGTCTATGTGGAAAGGCACTTAAGGCTATTGGAAAGTGACCAAGAACTAAAGCAGAGTCTTGATACATTATCTACCGATAAGAGATTACGCTTTCTTCATCCCACTGTGTTCATATTGGATGTGTCATATTCCAACCGCCCCATTAAAGGCGCCTTTATATGTGTATAAATACAGAGACCATTGAACTTAATTTAAATCATCCAGCCCCCCAGACTGTCTGAAGTTTTGTTCCCTGAAGGGCTATTTTGGAGGTAACAATTATATACGCATGACGTGTCCATTTTCTTTTGTCTATACAATGCATCAAGCTTGGCTTGCTTCATACCTGGGCTTGAAAGGATGTCCCTGCAGTAAATGATTCAGTTCTATACCCACCATTGACTCAATCATAATTTTCTCACAGGATTCCATGTTGATCTTGAATTCTTGATTAATATTGGATTACTTTTTTGCCAATACTTGTCTAACTAATTGTTGAATGAATTAATGCTTGTCCTGTGCCAACTTTAGTAATATCTCATATTAGCGATCATCTTTTACATAGTTATGTGTTCTTTCTGAAACAGCTAATTATTTTTCTTTTCGTTCATTCTATGCATTCTGCAGGCTTCTCGTTTGGAGAATGGATCCCGTCACAACCCAAGCCAAATATGAGTGCTTACTCTTCGGTACCATTTTAATGGCATTTCCCCTTATCTATGTAATAATAAATGTTGGTTATACTTGTGCCTAAACACTAATCGCCATCTGTTTGTCTTCAGACATGGATGACACTTTGTATCCTTTGAGCTCTGGCGTCAACTTAGCTTGTCGCAAGAATATTCAAGGTGTATTTGGAACGTAGATTTATCCCATGATATGCTCATGACTTATCTCACTTAATATCAACAGTTGTTCTTTTTCTCCTTAAATTTAGCACATTGATAAAGCATTTAAGCACACAAAATTAATTTGGTCACAAATGACTGATTCAATGTTCAAACTATTGCCTTAAATTGCAGATTACATGCTGCACCATCTAAAAATTGAAGAAAGCAAAGTACCTCAGATGTGTGTGGATCTCTATAAGGAACATGGAACTACAATGGCTGGTCTCAAGGTTTATAACTCATACACGCGCTCATTTGTTTTTATAGTAGCAAGAGTAAGCTTATGAAAAGAAGAAGAAGGATACGGTGATGTTCCTATCAATATGTACATGACTACAAAATTCTACGCGCGCGATTGGAAATGAGAACCTACAGTAAACAAAGTGTCAAAAACCCATAATCATATATTGAGGATATGTTTTCTATGGATTAAGAGAATATAGGATTAAAACTAGACAAATTCATGTTAGCATGCTCTGCATTGTGTTGTAACCCTTGAACTTAATGCATTGATTTAGTCTTAGTCTTCAAGCTGATTCTCATGCTTCTCTTCCTCTTTACAGGCACTAGGTTTTGAATTTGATGATGATGAATTTCATGCTTATGCACACGGAAGGTTGCCATATGACTCTTTGAAGCCTGATCCAGTGCTCAAGAATTTACTTCTTTCCATGCCACAAAGGAAAATAGTACGTTAATCCGACACAAATATTGAGATCATTCATTGTTGTCAAACAGAAACATATGCGTATTGAAATAATCTAAGAAGAAGCATGGGTATGAAATTTTGAATTCTTTTATAGATGATCTCATCATTACATTTATAAATGAAAACATTTGCGTGTCATTTACAGATTTTTACCAATGCTGATAAAGCTCATGCTGTAAAAGTTCTTAGTCGGCTCGGCATAGAAGATTGCTTTGAAGGAATTATATGCTTTGAGACATTGAACCAACCTACTCTACTCAACAACAAAGATGATAAGGAGAATGGATCTGTACCAGAAAACCCAAATAATCATGGTTTCTTCAGTGGAAGTGATTCAGAGACTGATGATGTGACCGATTGTGATGGTGCAAGTAACACAAAATCCAAAGTTCGAATTCTGTGCAAACCCTCTTTGGAAGCCATGAAAGCTGCAATTAAGATTGCAAACATTGATCCCAAGAAAACAGTAAAAATTGGCTGATCATGCTGTCTCCGTTGATTTCCTAATTTCTATTTTCTAACATCGTTTGTAAATGGAAACTTTTTTGGGTGCAGCTGTTCTTTGACGACAGCGTTCGCAACATAGCAGCAGGAAAGGAAGCCGGACTTCGCACTGTCACATCAATCTGTAGAAACCATAAAAATTCCATCAATCCTTTTTTGGCTGCATTATCGGACACCGCTTGATGGAGTTAATATTTAGTACTATGCTAGCTCCTCCATTTCTTGTTCCATTTTAGTTATTCTAAACTGTAACACACTGGGATGCATGTCATAGTTATTTCATACATGGGTAAAAATTTAACCAACTCCAGCTGAGATGAACTGGTGAATGCAAAGAATTGCACCAATCCGCAAGAATGAGCATAGATGTAAACTCCCAAGCAAATTTGGAGGTGTGTATGGAAATACTAGCTTTGGCTAGATAACTTCATAAAATATATAAATTTTAAAAGAAGCTGCCCTCAAATGTAAATAGCAACAAATCGAAAAAAGCATATACATAATCATTTAATAATAACTTAGTCCAGCACAAAACTTATCACCTTACATGTGCAGGTTGGGAGCTCGGTACACGTTCCAGGAGCAGACATAGCACTTGAGAGCATTCACAACATTAAGGAAGCGATTCCTGAGATATGGGAAGGCGAACATCAGCATGATGCAACTCTTCTTAGTGCTGTTGAAACAGTGGTTCTGGCTTGAATCCACACGATATACCTCCTTGTTGTATTTTAGCATATATTCTGAATGAAGATAAGGGGATTTGATTTATGTATATCACGATTATAAATAACAATGGTGCCTAACTGCTTTCCATTCTCTCCGGTTCTTATTTCATGACTGCAATTATGACTGAGCCTTCTGTGGAAGAGATTACAATTTGATTTCCAACATGGACTACCAAATTTCAAACATAAAATTAAAACAATGGAGCTCTGTACTTAGCGCTAACCTTAAAAGCATATGATTCAATCACGTTTGTGAATTTGACAAAGACAATCATAAGTTAATGTGCTAAAAGTTTGTTTCTTGAGTATGGCTACTAGTTCCATAGCATACCTGTTTTCATTGGTGAAACAAATGTTGTAACTAGTGGTAATCAGAATTGGGAACATAGAAGTAAAAGGACAAAAATATATAACCTATGTACAAGTCAAAGCAAGAAAATCAAAAGCAAGTTTCAGTATTAATATTTCTTCCCAGTTTTATTCTCTATAAACGGCTATATGTTTTTGTTAATTTACTCAATTGTCATAGACATTTAAACATGAAATAAATATTTCAAACCAGATAATAAATAGTGGAAGTATCATGATAGTTCAGATTACAAAATGGGCCAAAAGAAAAAGAAAATAATGGAACCTGGACAAACTGTTGGAATATCAAATTAAAATGCTAGAATAAATGAGTTTTAGAAGTGCAAGGGTCATAAGTTTAGAAGGTGAAGAGACATAGGTTATGGAAGAATAAGAGTAACTTACTCATTTATGACATTTATCTTTATGGCATTAAAATAGGAGTTTAATTTGTGACTATTGGTATGCCTAGATGTTTTTATTTTTGAAGCCTATATAAAGGGCTATTGTAATCCTTGTTTTATATGAAGAGAGAAAATTGAAGAAATATAAGTAAGTTCTTCATTTGAAAGAGTTCTAAGTTCGTAAACTTAAGAGTCATCAGTGGTATCAGAGCCACTTGATCCAATTTTCCCATTCTCTCTTCTTCTCATGGCTACCACAAATAATCTTGTCAATCCTCAAGTGCCCAAATTATTGAAAGATAACTATGAGAGTTGGTCAATCCAAATGAGAGCCTTATTTGGTTCTCAAGAGTTGTGGGAGCTGATCATTGATGGGTTCACGGAACCTACACCAGAAGTAGAAGCCACCTATACCGCCGAAGAGAAGAAGGCTCTCAGAGAACAAAGAAAGAAGGATAGCAAGGCTCGTTTTCTACTCTATCAAGGGTTGGACGAGTCTACCTTTGAGAGAGTTGCCGAAGCAACGACAAGCAAGGAAGCATGGGAAATCCTTACGACCATCTACAAAGGTGTCGAGCGGGTGAAGCGAATTCGCCTCCAAACTTTGAGGGGCGATCTTGAAGCCGCTCAAATGAAAGATGAAGAACAAATCTCCGATTATTATTCACGATTACTTCTAATTGTGAATAAAATAAGGAGAAATGGAGAGAAGATGGAGGACATCCGAGTGATGGAGAAGTTGCTCCGATCCCTCACATCAAAATTCGAGCACGTGGTGGCGGCAATTGAGGAGTCAAAGAATTTGGAGGATATCTCAATAGAGGAGCTCTTGGGATCTCTCCAAGTTCATGAACAACGAATGCAAAAGAAGGCTAGTTCCATAGTTTTGGAGCAAGTACTAGAGTCAACATTGACTCTAAGTAATCAAGGCTCACAAGCAAGAGGTCGTGGTCGTGGTCGTGGTAGAGGCAGAGGACGTGGTCCCCAACAACAAACCACTCAAAATCAACCCCAACAGCAAACCACTCAAAATCAAGTGGAGGCCCAAAGCTTTAGAGGACGAGGACGAAGCAATCGTGGAAGATCCACACCTGGGCGTGGAAGCAACAAGAATGTTCAGTGCTATAACTGTCACAAGTTTGGGCACTATGCTTCAAATTGTTGGCACAAAACTGAAGACCAAACCAATCTTGCCGAAGCAACAAATGATGTGGGTAACAACTCTACGCTTCTTCTTGCTAATGATGATTCAAGTGTTGAGAATGATGCTTGGTACCTTGACTCGGGTGCTAGCAACCACATGTGCGGGAAGAAAGAACTTTTCATGGAACTCGCAGAAGGAGTTCATGGAAGTGTGAGCCTCGGAGATTCTTCAAAACTCCCGGTTGAAGGCAAAGGGAAGATTAAGATCTACCAAAAGGATGGTAAGCCCGAGTATATTTCCGATGTTTACTATATTCCTAACATGAAAAGTAATATTCTTAGCATCGGTCAATTACTCGGAAAGGGATACAAAGTATATATGGAGAACAACCATCTTTGGTTGAAAAATACAAATGGAGGCCTCATAGCTTGTGTTAAGATGACAAGGAACCGCATGTTTCCCTTGCATCTAAACACGAAAGTCGACAAGTGTTTTCAAGGACTCATGGAGAATGAGTCATGGAGGTGGCATCTTCGCTTCGGCCATCTAAACTTCAGCGGTTTGAAGTTGTTGTCTACAGCTGGCATGGTACGAGGTCTACCAACAATTGATCCACCGAATCATATTTGTGAAGGTTGTGTAATCGGCAAGCAACCGCGACTTCCTTTTCCCAGTGGAAAATCATGGAGAGCAAGTGTACCATTGCAACTTGTTCACACCGACATCTGCGGACCGATCGATCCCGTCTCTTTGGGAGGTAATAGATATTTTATAACTTTCATTGATGACTTCAGTAGAAAGTTGTGGGTGTACACTCTTAAAGAAAAATCTGCTGCCTTTACTACATTCAAGCATTTTAAAGCTTTAGTTGAAGCAGAGAGCGGCCACAAGCTAAAAATTCTTCGATCTGACCGAGGTGGTGAGTACACCTCAAATCTATTTCAAGAATATTACAGGGAGCAAGGTATAAAGAGACAGTTTACTACTGCCTACACACCACAGCAAAATGGCATTGCAGAAAGAAAGAACCGGACCATCCTCGACATGACAAGAACCATGCTCAAAGAAAAGGGATTACCAAAGCAGTTCTGGGCAGAAGCCGTGGCATGCTCAGCTTATTTGCTCAACCAATGCCCCACAAAGATAGTGAAGAATAAGACACCTCAAGAGGCATGGAGCGGTTACACGCCTAGTATGGCACACCTACGAATTTTTGGTTGTGTTGCATATGCTCAAGTACCTGAAGTCAAAAGGAAGAAGCTTGACAATCGCGGTGAAAAATGCATTTTCATCGGATATAGCGAGGAGTCGAAGGCATACAAGCTCTACAATCCACTAACCAAGAAACTAGTTGTTAGTAGAGACGTTGTCTTTAATGAAGAAGAAGCATGGAACTGGAGCAATGAAGATCAACCCGTGGAGAATGAACCTGATGAGTCTCTACATGAGGAACCATCACTAGCTACACCACCATCTCCTCCACACTCTACACCCTCTCCTGCAAGAGGTTCTCCATCTTCTGGGGAAAGTAGTAGCAGCGAATCTACCATGCAACGAGGTCCCATCAAAATGAGAAGCCTCAGGGAGATCTATGAGCAGATAGAAGAAGATGAAGAGTCAAATCTTTTCTGCTTATATGCTGATCATGAACCTCTCACTTTTCAAGAAGCCGTAAAAGAATATTATTGGCGAACAGCAATGGAGGAGGAGATCCACGCCATCCAAAAGAATGACACTTAGGAGTTGACAACTCTTCCACAAAATCACAAGGCAATAGGGGTCAAGTGGGTGTACAAGATCAAGCGCACAGCAAATGGTGAAGTTGATCGGTACAAGGCGAGGCTTGTAGCGAAAGGTTACAAACAAAAGTACGGCATCGACTATGGAGAAGTCTTTGCTCCGGTTGCTCGACTAGATACGATGAGACTATTAATTTCACTTTCAGCTCATCACAGGTGGAATATATATCATTTGGATGTCAAGTCAGCATTCCTCAATGGCGTTCTTGAGGAAGAGGTGTACGTGCAACAACCAGAAGGCTTTCTTATGAAAGGGCAAGAAGACAAAGTGTACCATTTGAAGAAAGCCTTGTATGGCTTAAAGCAGGCACCACGGGCGTGGAACGCCCGAATTGATGGCTATCTTCATCAAAACGGCTTCATTAAATGTCCCTATGAACACGCCATCTACATGAAGAGGAACCATAGAGGCGAATTTCTAATAATTTGTCTTTATGTTGATGATTTATTGTACACAGGAAGCAGTACCGAGATGCTTGCTGAATTCAAGGCGGCAATGTTCAATGAATTTGAGATGACGGACAATGGATTAATGTCCTATTTTCTTGGCATTGAAGTGAAGCAGCAACAAGAGGGGATTTTAATATCCCAGAAGAAGTACATGAAGGAGATCTTAGAGAAGTTCAAGATGAATGAATGCAACCCTGTGAACACCCCAGTAGCCATCGGAATGAAGCTATCAAGAGAAGGAGACGGACGTTTCGTGGATTCAACTCTTTTCAAAAGTCTAGTTGGCAGCCTGAGATACTTGACGATCACAAGGCCCGATATTACTTATGGAGTTGGACTTGTGAGTCGCTATATGGAGACACCGAATGAATCTCACTGGCTAGCTGCGAAGAGGATACTAAGGTATATCAAAGGCACACTTAACCTGGGTCTCTTCTATGCATATGATGAAAATGTACAACTAGTTGGTTACTCAGATAGTGACTGGGGAGGTGATCAAGATGAGAGAAAAAGCACCACAGGCTATGTTTTCTATCTTGGGTCAACTGCATTTTCATGGACCTCAAAGAAGCAAGGAGTTGTAGCTTTATCTTCATGTGAAGCAGAATATGTGGCGGCTGCATCTACAGTATGTGAAGCAATTTGGTTGCGAAACATATTAAAGGAGTTGGATCATCCACAAGAAGACTCGACCGTAATTTTTGTGGACAACAAATCAGCCATCCAGCTTGCAAAGAACCCAGTACATCATGGGAGGAGAAAACACATAGATACACGGTTTCATTTTCTCACCATTGAACTGAAGCATTGTCACACCACTGAACAAGTGGCAGACATATTCACCAAGCCATAATCAGGTGAAACTTTCATGAGGCTAAGAGACATGCTTGGCTTAAAGACATTTTGATTTGAAGTGGCGTGTTGGAATATCAAATTAAAATGCTAG